TCTTTTTTTTTTTTTTTTTTTTTTTTTTTTTTTTTTTTTTTTTTTTGACACAGGGTTTCTCTGTGGCTTTGGAGGCAATCCTGGAACTAGCTCTTGTAGACCAGGCTGGTCTCGAACTCATAGATCCGACTGCCCCTGCCTCCCGAGTGCTGGGATTAACGGCGTGCGCCACCAACGTCTGGCGGCATATTCTTCTTTAGGTTGGGGAAGTTTTCTTCTGATTTTGTTGAATATGTTTCCTGTACCTTTGAGCTGAATTTCTTCACCTTCTTCTATACCTATTATTCTTAGGTTTGGTCTTTTCAAAGTGTCCCATATTTCCAGGATACTTTGTGTTAGGGATTTGTTGGACTTCAGATTTTCTTTGGTCGATGACTGTATATCCTCTAGCGAGTCTTCAATAACTGAGATTCTCTCTTCCATCTCTTGTATTCTATTGGTTATACTTACGTCAGAGGTTCCTGATCATTTACCCAGCTTTTCTATTTCCAGCATCCCCTCATTCTGTGTTTTCCTTACTGTTTCTAATTCTACTTTCAAACTGTGAACTGTTTGAATTGTTTCCTTCACTTGTTTGGTTTTTTTGCTTGGTTTGTCTTCTATTTCTTTAAGGGATTTTCTTGTTTCCTCTTTAATGGTCTCTTTTATCTTCATAAGATAATTTTTAAGGTCTGTCTCTTCTTCATTCTCTGCGTTGGGCTTTTCAGTTCTTGCTGGTGTGGAGTCCCTAGATTCTGGTGGTGTCATATTGGTCTTTCTGTTGTTGAGTGTGTTCTTATTCTGTCATCTTCCCGTCCCTTCTTCCATTGGGTGCAGGTGGGGTCTCTCCCTCTCTCAGGCAGCAAGTGGAGGGCTCAGGCGGTGGGCAGAGGGGGTACAAGGGTGAGGTGCGTCCAGACTCAGGGTGGGCCTTCCAGTCTGGGCAGGTCCACTCTTGTCCAGGGGGAGGCTCAGGAGGAAGGGAGCAGGGAGTGATGGGGGAGGTTGGGGCCAGAGCAGCGCCCAGACTCACCTCAGGCTCAGGCGGCAGCCGGAGGGCAGAGGGGTACAAGGGTGAGCTGTCGGGCCGGAGGGATATTTTTACTGGGAATACTGACCTTTTCTTTTGCTACTAGAAAAATATTCTTTTAACTCATAGTTTCTGTTGAGAAATCTATAATTATTGAAATCATAGTCCCTCTGTAAGTAACAGGCCATACGCACGCACACACTCCCATAACAACTTCAGCTGTTCTTGCCTTTCACCTTATTTGAGACAGGGTCTCTTGTTCCTGCTGTGTATGCTTGGCTAGCTTGGCCTATGCAGTCCTGGGGATTCTTAGTCCCACTAAACCATATTTTTAGCCTAACAGGCCATTTTGTTGGCTGGTTGCCTTGGGCTTTGGTTCATTTTTGTTTTGTTTAGATTTTAGCGTTTTGACACTCTGGAGTAGAATTTCTTTGAACTTGTCCTCTTTTGGAATTCCCTAAGCCTCTTGTATCTGAATGTATTTCTTTGGCAATTCTTTTTCCCATCCTTTGGTTTTCTGATAGCACATTCTAAGTTTTGTTATTTTCCCAGTTGTTGATGTTCTGTTCATTTGTGTTTTGTTTTGAGTCTTGGTTTTCTGTTGTTCAAACTGGATAATACAGATCCTGGCTTCTTGCACTGCCACTTTGTATCTGCTTTTCTGTGTCTGTAGTGAGTTCATTTTGGTTACTGTGTCTTCTGATTCTTTACTATATGTATCCTTAGTGTTCCAAGAGTGTTTGACTTCTGGGGCCTGAGATGGATGGGGTTCAGCCTGTGAAGACTGCTTCAGAATTTGATGGCCTGAGTTCTATCCCCAGGACTCATGTGGTAAAAAAAGAGAACAAGTTGTTTTCTGCTTTCCATAGGGACTATTATTCCTTTTTCTCTTCATTCATACATACAATAAAAGAAAAAAATTAAAGGAGTGTTTGTCCTTGTTTTGGAAATATTTTTGTAATGATAGCTTGGAAGTCTTGGGTTTCAGCATTTGTCCTTTTGACCTTGGTGCTGTCCCTTCCTCTCCTGTACTAGTTGAACTGTGCTTGGTTCCTTGTATGCCAAACAAATTTGTGCTGCCCTTCACCTTGCGGATGGCAGTCTTCTGTGGGTTGCAGATTCAGTGCCCTTCACAGTTGTCTTGAATGTACTATTAAGTAGCCAGTCTGCCTTACTTCAGTTTTCAGAGTCTATAGGGTGCTCTGTGGAGTTAGAACTATGTATCTATAGCTCAAGTGTAGGCCTAGTAATGTGTAACCTGCTCTTTTCACCACCTGGCCACCCCATCTTCTTACTCCCAGCCTCCGAACTGCAGTTGTTGGGCTGTAGCATGGTTTATTTATCTGTCCCATGTTGATGGAGATATGTATGTATATGTGTTTCTGTCCTTTACATTACAGAAAGTGCTGTATTAGGCATACTTGTAACAGATTACTATAGCATGCTTCTGAAAATATGGCTATAGTATAATGCCCAGAAATTGGTTTATTGATTTCCGTTTGTCTATATATTTTCCCAAAGTGCTTCTGAAGTTTTTTTATTTTTTTATTTTTTTAATATATGTGATCATTACAACAGTAGTCCCTGAGAATGAACAGAGTTAAAAGAAACTCTAGGAAAATTCCTGACTGTGGTTGTGTAGATGAATTGGATTGGCTACTTAATGATACCAAAGTAAGATGTAAACCTTTGTTTTTTTCTATTAGGTGGGGTGAAAAAGAAAGTCATCTATACATGATTCTTTCCTATTTTCCCTGCAGAATTTTGATTCTGATATTAGCAGTGTGGGAATAGATGGCTGCTGGCAGGCAGACAGCCAACGGCTTCTCAATGAGGTGATGGTGGAACACTTCTTCCGACAAGGCATGCTGGATGTAGCTGAAGAGCTCTGCCAGGTAATCACAAACGCCAACAAAGCATAGGGAAAACAAACAAGGCAATGCTGTGGTGTTTGCATTATCTGCACGTGAGACTATTTGTCCCTCAAACTGTAGCGAGGTTTGTAATCTTTTAATTACCATAAATAACTCATTTTGTTAGATTTTTTAAGTTCTTAGAAATTATAGTGCTATAATTTAATATCTGAATTGCCCTTTCCTTAAGCAATTACACTCTTGAAGCTTAATATCTGAGTTGTTCTTAACTTATTCTGAATTTGATAGGTTGGTTCCTAGTCGTGAGTAGTCAAAAGTATCAAAAGTGATAATATTTATCCTATGTGGCCCAGGCTGTCCTTGACTCCTCCTATTTCATTCTCCCCAGTGCAGCACAGTATGCACTGTTTACTACACCCCTATTTCCTCTTTTGATAGGAAATTAATATATCTGGTCTTATTTCTGTTAGACAGGAACACCATGAAGTCATAATTGTAGCTGCTGTGTTTGAGTGTTTCCTCCAAGCCACGCCCTGCTATTCCTTTCTGTTCCACTGTGAAGTCGTAGTTATTGTTGCTGTGTGAGGTTTGGAAAATCAAGGAATGTGCCCAGGGCCATTCTAGGAGCTTTTGTGAAGGAACTGGTGACTCAGTCCCTTATCTTTTCAAACTCCATTCTATTGCATTTTTTGTTTAAAAAATGAAGAACTCAAAAGATAAAATAATTTAAAGTGAATCTAAATCCTTTCTATTTGAAACAGCTGGAAAAAACAGTAATTGGGTCTTTCTTTGTACCTTTTAAGGTATGTGTTGGTGTCCATACAAATCTTATAGTAAATTGAGGATTAGTTTGTTTTCAAGTAACAACCTCAAGACAATAGCTTAACAAAAAAGTTTGTTTTTCCTGTACAGGAAAGAGGGGTAGTAAGAGAAGTTCATAGCATCTATCCTGTGAAGTTCTTAGACAGTCCTTGTAGCTCTGTAGTTTCCAATGTTTCCTTCTCTCCTTGTGGCCAGACCTTGTATCCCAGGAAAGAGTGTGTGCTTACAGTTCACTGGCCTGAATGTGCAGAACCACACACAGCTTTAGTCCATGGTCTTGTGCTCAACTCAGATTTGTCAGAAGCCTAGTGATGGGACAGTTTCTGCCGCAGAAGTATATGCTAAAAGGAAATTAGCTTTGACAGCCCTGTATTTTATAATCTAGACCAGCCTTTTCCATTGCAAATGAGTATACTAACAAGTTTTTTTTTTCCTGTTCGTTTTTCTTTTCCTTCCAGGAATCTGGACTGTCTGTGGACCCAAGTCAGAAAGAGCCATTCGTGGAATTGAATCGAATATTAGAAGCATTAAAAGTCAGAGTACTGAGACCTGCTCTTGAGTAAGTTACTCGTTCTTTTAGGTTACTGTGACGGGAACTCTGTAAGAACATGTTTGTAAACCACATGAGACATATTTCGATAGGTCTGTTTTACCTGGGGTAGACTTCAGAGGATTTGAGAAAGAATACTTGCATTTCTTTTAGCCAAGTGAAATATGGACTGTATAATATGAGAACCTGGGCAACCTGCTTAACTGAACAGTTGATCATATTCCCAGAAGAGAAGGGTTTCCTTGTCTATGCTGGAACCCTACTCGGAATAGACCAGTATTATAACTGAAGCACCATTGTTTTGATAATCTTTATGTGATATTTGAGCTTCCATAATCTACTTGGGTGCTGTGCTGTCATTCTGAGAGGTGATTTAGTTGGTTATGAGAACTAAGTGATACTCATGAGCAGAGCAAAAATTCTGTATAAAAGATCTGTGGTGGGGGTGGGGAGAAAGAGGGAGAAGTTGTTTGTCCCATGCTAAGCTCTCTGATTCCATTCTGAAATTTTTAATGTGAAGGTTACCAGGATATTTACAATAAATAATATAAAATGAAGGTAAAGAACAAGATAATCAGGGCTGGAGAGATGGCTCAGAGGTTAAGAGCACTGATTGCTCTTCCAGAGGTCCTGAGTTCAGTTCCCAGCAACCACATGGTGGCTCACAACCATCCGTTATGAGATCTGGTGCCCTCTTCTGGTGTGCAGATAGACATGGAAGCAGAATGTTGTATACATAATAAATAAATAAATAAAATATTTTTTAAAAAAGAACAAGATAATCAAAGTAGAGTCCTAGTGTTTTCAAACTTGGAAGATCTGAAATCAGTATTAATCCATGTGGTGTTTTAATTATTAAAACAGGTGATTGTATTTTGAGTTTGGGGTGGAGGTTACTGTATAGTTTCTACAATTGATTAGTTCTTTTAAAAAATTTGCATATTTTTAGAACTAACCCAGATGAACAGTTCCAGTGTTAATGTGTTTTATGATTTCTGTATAAAAATTAAAGTGATCTGTTTAGAACTATGTTTTTTTTTTTTTTTTAAACTATGTGCCTTTGTAAGGTGTGTGTTACTTTTGTATAGTGTATATGAGGACTATTGTTTTTAGTTCAGTTTTTGGAGAAGAGGGGTTATTATTCATAGCCATGGTTGGCCTTGAACTTGTGATTTTTCTGTCTCTTGGTTTCTTGGGGTAACATATTTGGCATGTTTTGTGGGGTTTTGGGTTGGTTTTAGATTGTGGCACACCTAGGTGGTAAGTTTAAGTGTCTGTAACCTTTTATTTACAAAATTAGCATCTACTCTTAAATGAAATGTGGGGAACCCAAGTCCATAAGTGTACTGAGCTTTCCAGTTCTACAGTGGTTAGGATATGCAGCTGGATGTTCTTGAAACAGCTTGTTTCTTCAGTTGTTTCTTAGGGTGCTCTAACCTGTATTAATTGCTGACTGTGAGACTTCGCTTAGTGTTTGAACTCCTTTAGCTTCAGAAGCGCTCACCATTTTTCCTTTTGGAGAAGGAAATGCTAAGTGATTGGAAACTGTCTTTGGAGTTATTCCAGTGACTGCATTCAGAAGCAAAGTGTTGTTTCCAGTGAAGCCAGCTGGTTGCTTTGCTAAAGCATCAGAATATTACCTTGATAGATTTGAAACAGTTGGAATCTGACTTTAGCTTTATAGATTGAGGACAAACATTTTCCTTTTTTAAAAATCCACTTAAGAGTGCTTTTAGAGCCGGGCGGTGGTGGAGCACACCTTTAATCCCAGCACTTGGAAGGCAGAAACAGAGAAAACCTGCCTTGGAAAAAATGAAAACACAATAATTTTAAAAAGTCTTTGCAAGTTTATAACATGTATGCTGTAGGAAAGGACAGCTTCATAGTATACTCAGTTTGCATTTATCTTAAAAGGAAGTTTACCTGTGTCTTCTGTAGATAGGCTTATGTGTTCATGCTGGCACAGACATAATCTTTTGACTCTGGGGAATGTCTTAAGGATAACTGCTGATGATATATGATGGGATTTCCCAGGACCTGTGAGAGCTTTCTCCATTGCTTCTTTTAGTGCAAAACCCTCCACGAGACACCTTGAGGAACCAAAATAAATAAGTGGTTGTAAGGAAGAGAGAAAAATAAAGGTTGCAGAATTTTTCAGATAGGAAAATGGTTTATACTGCACAAAAGGGTTTTAGGTGGGGCAGGCAGGTTAGACCAGGCCAGAAGTTTGGTGGGGAAGGAAAGAAAGGTCAGAAGGAAATGAGATGAGACTACCCTCTGGTTTAGTGGTATAATGTTTGATTAGTGGTCTTATGGATAAGAAAACCTTCATTAGACTTAAGAGAAAACTATACATGAATGAATAAAATATAGCTTTTTAATAGAAAACTGGTTAGAAAGTAAAAAATAGAAGAAGCAAGTGGAAGTACCAGATGATTGGAGATTTGAATGACAAACTAAATTGTACAGAAATTGTAGTTTCTTGTTGAGGCTGGAAAGATGGTTTGAGAGTTAAAAGAACATTCACTGGTTGCTCTTTCAGAGGACCTGGGTTTAATTCTGGGTACCCACCATGGTGATTTACAACCATCTATAACTCAAGTTCCAGGGGATTTGACTCCTTCTTCTGGCCTCTGTGGAAACCAGGCATGCACATGGTACACAGACATACATGTAGGCAAAACATGCATGCACAAAATAATTTTTAAATTTTAAGTAGTGGTGTCTGTTTCTTGTTCTGCACTTTGAAGCTTCTCACGCACGGTGTGCATCTCTCAGTTTAGTTTGCTCTCGGTCACTACAGACAGTGGGGAGACAAGGAAGAAGGGCATCCAAGGTTGAACAAGCTGGATTTTTTTCCCCTAGAGTTTGATTTTCTTCTCACCCAATTAATTGGCCTTAATTCTGAGAAGACCAAAGAGGGGAAAAAAAAAAAAAAGGATGATCCATTTTAGACGAATTCTTTCTATATGCAAAGTGATAGAGAAAGAACACCTCAATTAAACAGAAGCTAATTAAAAAGAGTGGGGTATGGTGCACACACCTGTAATCCCAGCACTTGGAAGGTGGAGGCAAGATCAGGAATTGAAGGTCATCCTCTGCTACGTAGAAGGTTATCGGCCAGTCTGGGCTGCCTGTCTTAGGAAGTAGTGTAATGAGGTGCCAGTGACAAGGTTACAGAAAAGATAATGCAGTGCAGCAGGGAGACTCGAAGAGAGGAAAAAACATTTTCGGTGATAACATCCTTTTCTGTTTAAATTTACTACTGATGAAAGCTTATAGGAAATTCTTATAAATTCTTATATGAAAGCCTAGTCCTCAGGACAAGAAAATGCATAATCTATCCTCACTGAGGAGGGCTTAGCAACATTGGAACAAAGTGGACCTATATGTCTGAGAACTTCATGCAAAGTTGAGTATGTGTGTGTGTTGCTATTTTGTTTTAATATTGTTCTTATGAGATAGGGTCTCGGGTAGCTTAGGTTGGTCTTGAATTTCTGATTGTGCTGCCTCTCCCTCCCACATATTGGGATCAGTGACCAGTTTGTTTGTGTTATTCACATGTGTAATACTCTGGTCTCCCACTTCTCCTTGTTCTTTTTGAAGCAAAATTTCACTAATGCTATAGCCCATGCTGGCATTGGCCTTCTTAGTGCTGGCATTGGCCTTCTTAGTGCTGGGAACACTGGCATGTACCAGCACATGTGACTTCAAGTTCTTTAAGAAAAAGATAATTAGCATTTTATTTATTTTGTGCTACGTGTATAGTTTGCAGAAGTTCTTTCTTTTCCCCATAAGCACCCTGGGAATTTAATTCAAATTGTCAGACCTGGTAGTAAGTGTCTTTACCCACTGAGTAATCTTGTCCCTTTGCATGTGTTTTAAACAGCTAACAAAAAAGGTAGAAGAGATGGCTTAGCTGTTAGGAACAGTTACTGCTCTCTGAAAGGACCTAAGATCGATTCTCAGCACCCATGCTGAATGGTTCACAACCATCTGTAATTCCACCTCCAGGGGGGTCTGACACTCTTCTAGACTGTACTCATGCATACATACCTACACATGGATATAACTTTTAAAATAATAATAATAAAATCTTTTAAGAAAGATATATTTCTGAGATGAAGAAAGCATAAGTACTTCTGATGTTAGTTAGCCAATAACCAAGACTTCACTGTTTGAATACCCCCTTTATGAAAAAAATTCATACACTATATATTGATCATGTTTTTCTCCCTCTCCCAATTCCTCCAAGATCTCCCCAACCTCCCTACCCATCCAGTATTATGTTCTGTTTTTCTCTCTTTCAAGAAAACAAGCTAACAACAAAACATAAGAACACAAGAAGCATAAACCCACAAGAAACACACAAAGGAAAATGTAAAAAAATAAGCAAAAGACCAATAAAACAGAAAATGCCAAACAGCATGGCCGTGGTGGCTCACACCCATTATCCCAGCACTTGAGTGGCAGAGGCAGGCAGCCGATCTCTGTGAGTTCAAAACCAGCCTGGTCTATAGAGCAAGTTCCAGGACAGCCAGAGAAACCCTGTCTTGGAAAACCAAAAAGAAGAAAGAAAGAAAGAAAGAGAGAGAGAGAGAGAGAGAGAGAGAGAGAGAGAGAGAGAGAGAGAGAGAGAGAGAGAAAGGAGAAGAAAAGCAAGAGGAGGAGGAACCAAAACAAAGCAAAATGAAACAAAAAAGTCTACAAAAATACCATTGAGTTCATTTGTGTTGGCCAACTCCACCTGAGCATGGGGCTTTTTATCTCACTGTCTGCACATTGTCCAGTTGAGGATTTCTGTGTTCATTTTCATCTAATGAAAGAGCTCTGTCTGATGTGGGTTGAGTGCAGCAGTCATCTACAAGTGTAACACTGTGTCATTAGGAGTCATTTTAATGCTGTGCTTCAGTAGCAGAGTAATAGTAGGTCTCTGGTTCTTGGCAGTGTCAGATATGGGTTCCATCTCATGGAGTGGGCCTTAAATACAATCAGTTGCACCCATAACA